GTCATCGCTATTCCGCTGTGTACTTCTCCTGTCGCGGCATGCCCGACACGGCGACCGCGGAAGAGTTCCTGGAGCATGGGTTCGACTTCGCGAATGGGTGTTCCCCCAGCACGAAAAAGTTCCCGCCGTCCACTTCGACGGCTTTGCCGTTGCGCCGAAAAGTTCTCGCCGTGCTCGCGGTGCCCCCTGGGGCTGTGGAGGAAGGTTCACGTTGCCCAAAGCCACCGCCGCCGCGGCGCATCTGCTTGCCATCGTCGCAGAGGCGGCCCCGCATGGCGCGGCAGAGCGCGACGCCGTCGCGGTGGCTTCCATCTGGCGTCGCGCCAAGACCGCGCCGCGAAGGCAGCGTCGGACATTCCGAATCCGACGCGGGCCCTTGCGCGGTTCATCGCCCAGGAAGGCGGCGGGCGCAACGGCCGCGCGGCGCATCTCATGCGGGGCCGCCCTAGGTCCTATGCGGCCGCAATGCGGGGCCGCCCTCCCCCACCCCCCTCCCCCACCCCCCTCCCCCTCTGGCGGGGCTGCGAGCGCTCGCCCCAGAGTGCGCGTGGGTCCGCCGAGGGCGGGGGGGGGGCGCCCAGCGCGGGCTTTTCGATTCCCGAGGTCTGCGCGGCGAGTCAGCAGCGCGAGTCATCGCCGATCCCTGAACGCGCCACGGAGTGGCTCTTCGAGCGGTGCCGAATCGCAGGGCTGCTGCGCGAGTGGTCCATGCGAGTGCTTCGGCGCGCTCGACATTGCGCTGGAGCTCCAAAAATGTTTTTTTTTTGATATTTTTTTTTGCTATGTTTTTGATATTTTTTTTGCTATCGGTGGATCGGTCGGTTTCGGTTCTGACTTTTCAACCACTCGCGTGTGCCTCCCCGTCCCCCATGTCGATTTCGGCTCTGGCTCTTCAACCACTGTTTTTTTGCTCCCCGTCCCTCAATCGGCTTCGGCTTTGACTTTTCAACCGCTGTTTTTTTGCTTCTGTCTCGCTGCCTGGGTCGGGCTTGACCTCCTGTGTTGACTGCTCGCTGGACGCGTTGAGGGCGCCCGCGCTCGCGTGCGCCCGCGTGCGCTAAGTACCCCCCCCCCCCCCCCTGTGCGACCGCGAGCGCTAAGTGCACCCACCCCCTCCGCGAGATTTTGGGCGCGCGCGCGAAGCCCCCCCCCCCCCCACCCCCAACACCCCGCCCCCCCCCACCCCCCCCCCCCCCCCCCCCCCCCCCCCCCCCCCCCCCCCCCCCCCCCCCCCCCCCCCCCCCCCCCCCCCCCCCCCCCAACCCCCCCCACCCCCCCCCCCCCCCCCCCCAACACCCCACACACACAACACACACACCCCTAACCGTTAACCCCCGTCTTGGGTGGCCTATCGCCGCCGCGCAGGCGCGCTAGGTGTTGGTTGTGTTTTTTTTGGTTTTGTTTTTATCGCCGCGCACGCGCCGACCCCCAACCCCCCCCCCCCCCTTCTTCCTCCCGCTCTTCCCCCCGTTCCCCCTCCTCCGCGCGCTCAGGCAGGGAGCGCTTCGCGGCGCGCCGAGTGCTGCCCCGCTGCGGGTTCGGCGTGTTTTTTTTTTTTTGGTGCTCTCGGGGCGGGTCCTCTCCGAAAGGTTCCAGAAAGCTTCAAAAAGGCCCGCAGAAGGCCCGTTCCCCAGTCCCCAGAAGGCCCCCGCAAGGGAAACTTCCGAATCGCATTTTTTATCAACGAGAGCTCGAGGAGCAGCCCCGTGGGCGACGTTCAAAAGAGTGGCCAGCGACGAAATGCGTTCTTCATGCTTCGTTGCGCACAAGCATCGGACAATTGTGGGTCCGAGGTTCCGAGGCAAAACATTCCCGTCCGTTCTGTTCAGGCGAAGGTTTTCCAGGAAACATCGGCCCAGCATTACAGCGCCGATTTTTTTAAACGTGTATTACTTCCTTGGGACGCACTCCTTGCATTATTCGCAGCTTATTTAAACATCGTCATAGTTCGACCCTGGTTCCCGAAACAGGGAAATCATTCCGGTTCCTTTATTAGTTTCCCCCAAATCATTTGGATTGACAAACAGGAAACCACGCGGCCACCACCACGACCGACACGGAACCCCTTGGGGTCCCATGTCGGTCGTCTTATAATATTTGCGCAGGGGGTTGGCCAACGCCCACATTAAACTCCTAGGATGGCTTCCGTGGACATAGTGCATGCACACTTCTTGTACACACAAGTATAACTATATTATACATACGTATATGTACATACATGTGTCTCCTACATATACGTCCCCACCTTCCTCCCGCTCTTCTCTGTTTGGTATTCGCGCCCGTCCGCTAGGCCATGGCGGAGTGGTTCTGCTCCTACGACGCAGTCGGCCTGCTGGACCGCGAGAAGGTTTGGCGCGCCGCCTTCCTGCGCCTGGATGCGCGCCAACGACGGTTGCCCAGGCTGACTCCCAAATATGTCAGTGCAAAAGGTCGTGCCTTCGGAGATCTTTGGCATCTCGTTTGGAAGGGGAAGCATCGTCCCAGGACAAGCCCACCACGGGGCCCACGCCCAGGTGCGGGCGGTGGCCCTCTCCGAGATGATGATGGTGAGGAGGCGGGGGAGGACAAGGAGGAGGAGGAGGAGGATCCCGAGGAGGCCTCCGAGGACCAACGGGTAAAACTGTAGGGACACATAATCCTGGCCCTCAGGTTTGATCCATGAAACAGCGGTGCTTCGGCGGTCCAGGTTCCCGTTTTTTGTTCTGGCCACCCTGCCCAGGAACGCAACGACATTTCGGTGTCGGCATTTGTTCGGACCCGTGCTGGGAGACCCCCAGGACAATTCTGATGGTGCTAGTCATACTGATTCTGCTGAGGATGAGCGGTTTGACGCAGAGTTCCCACCCGAATCCAGTTCCAGTGAAGGGGATGGGGGCGAACACGGCCATGGTGGAGAAAATGATTCGCCTGGTGCTGGCGGAGGGGGTGACCCGCATCCTGAGCCCGTAGGTTGTCCAGGCCCTGAGTTGGTCCATGGCCCAGAGCCACCGCCGTCTGTTCCGCCCCCGCCGCCACCTCACCCCGCTCCTCCTCCGCCTCCACCCGCTCCACCTGTTTTGTTTGGGGGCGGCGTGGCGGGGCCTCCCAGGATGTCGGACCACGTCATTCGCCATGGAGTGCCAGGTGGCGTTATCACATTTTATCATTCCGAGACACCTCGGTTTGTGTTTGAATGTAAAGGTAGAGGCCATGGGCGCTGCTCTGTTGAGAAAGCAGCGTACCGTTCAGACAAACGTGGCAGGGAGGGCCAAGGTCGCTGTTTAGGTTGGGGCCTCGCTTGGCTCGCAGACGTAGGGGCTGGCTCCAAAGCGGAGCATAAATTGTACAACCCGTCTCGCTCTGACAGGCGTGCGTGTCGGCACCTCCAGAGAGAAACTCAGCCAATGTTCAGAGTTCTGGAGAACGATTGCGAGGCGCCTAAGAGGCTCCCAGATGAGGACAGCGAGCCTGAGACTGTTCCAATTCGTTAAATGTGTTTTTACATGAGGCTTGTCGCGAGTTTGCGCGACGTGGCCCTGGGACTCGCCTTTGCATCGTGGGAGCTCGTGCGACAGGAAGCCGATGTAACCAGTTCAGGGGCATTGCAATTCATACATCACATCGGCCACCCACCATGTGGGTCACGGTGGGGTCACGGTGGGGTCACGGTGGGGTCACGGTGGGGTCACGGTGAAGTAAGCTGGAGGAGACGGCCGTCTTAGGTGGGCCGTCTTGGGTGCAGTCTTGGAGGGTGTCTTGGGTGGGCCGTCTTGGAGACCATCTCGGGCCATCTTGGACGCTGTCTTGGGGCCCTTTATGGGCATCGTGGGCATCTTGGGGCCCTTATGGGCATCTTGGGGCCCTTATGGGCATCTTGGGCAATTAGCCCTAGGCATTCGCCTTACCGCCTAAGGGCCCGCGAACGGGGGCTCCCACGGGCGGGGGCGAAGGTCGCGACCCCCCTCCCCTCCAGCACCAAATGCTGGGGGGGGGGGGAGGGGTCGTGACTGCCCGTCCTAACCCCTCGTTCGCGGATCCGCATGAGGGGTGCACCCTGGGCAATTAGCCCTAGGCTTCCGCCTTGCCGCCTAGGGGTCCGCGAGCGAGGGCTCCCACGGGCGGGGGCGAAGGTCACGACCCCCCTCCCCTCCAGCACCAAATGCTGGGGGGGTGGACGGGCCGTGACTGCCCGTCCTAACCCCTCGTTCGCGGATCCGCGTGAGGGGTGCGCTTTTCTGTGGTATTCTTTGGGCTCCCTGGGCGTCTTGGGCATGTTTGGGCGCCTGCCGTGCCCGTCTGAAGTGCCGTGCTGGTCCGCCCTGCTGATTGGCAATTCGACTGATCTGCCGCGCTGGTCTGCCCTGAGGGTCTGCCGCGCTGGTCTGCCTTGCTGGTCTGCCGTGTTGGTCTGCTCTGCCGTGCGGCCGTGCGGGTCCATTGGGGTCCTCGGCCTCCCAGGGCTCAGTGGTCTCGGGGCTGCCGCGCGGCTCTCTCGGGGCCATCTCGAGGCCATCTCGGAGCCATCCTGGAGCCATCTTGAGGAGCCATCTTGGACACTCTTGGGCCCCAGGGGCCATCTTGGAGCCATATCGAGGCCGAGCAGCGCGCGCGCCCTCACCCTCCCAAGGGCTTTTGAAGATGAGCAACGGGGCCACCGCTTGATATCCACCCGCTGCCGCTACCCATGCTTCTCGGGGCAGTTCTTGCTCTAGCCAACTGATGGAGTTCAGACCTTCCTCCAGGCTGATGCTGTGCGCTTTCTTCACAAGTTTGATCCATATTCTGAATTTGGTGCATCTCTCCATGGCGTCGCCGTCCTCGGCGGCTGGTGCTTCGAGCAGCCCAGTGGCACCCCGCGGCTGCGGAGTGCGCGCTTCCGTGCCAGGACGTACGTGGCACAATAATTATGTTCATTAGTTATGCATTATCCTTCTCCTCCCACGGTTTCCCTCCTGCCTCCCATCGTGTTTTCCCCCTGAGGACGACTCCATTCTGTGTGGGCGTTGCTTCCGATTCAAGAGCGAGCTCTTCTATTTCCTCCCAGACGAGGCCCAGTTCGTCGCCGCTCTCAACGACAGCCCGTACCTCAAGAACCAGATCTGCAGCAACAAGCTCAACGTGGAGCAGCTGCCGATGGCGCCGCTCTCGGACCCCGAGCAGGTGTGCACGAGGCTCGACGCAGGGTGCGAGTACTATTACGAACGCCTCCTCCCCACGGAGGAGCAGCTGCGATTGCTGATGCAGCAGCCCTCCCTAACGCCGAAGACGCTGAGGGCGATCGAGAGCCACCGAACCTGGGGCATCGACGAGCACGGGCGGTATCGCTTGTACTACGCGTTTTTGGACGACGTCAAGGACGACAAGATGCTTGGCTACAGACGCGAACGCGTCTTCTGGAAGATTTCTACGAACCAGTATCGGGTACTCCAGAACCTCAATAACGCATCCTTGGGTGGCCAAGGCAGCGAGCTTTTCCATTGGATGGCCGAAGCAGAGAAGGCGGCCTTGAGGCAGGACAATGCAATGGACGTCCCTTTCCTGAGCGCAGTGCTTGGCCTCCAGCCCAAGAAGAGGAGGGGCCCTAGCACAGATGCCGACAGTGGCGCCGCAAGTGCCAGTGGAGGCACTCCGAAGCCCGTACTCGTCAACAAACGCGGGGTGCCGAACGACTCGACCTACGGAGCCTGGGATCCCGAGCGCAAGCGTGGCCGCTGGACCCTGACAGCGAGACCCGACGCGGAGCAGACGACGCCACTGCTCCCTACTTTGAGTCCTTCTCCTTCGAGGGCGTATCCGCGAGTGCCTGGTTTTTATGCTGCGGTGTACTCGCCGCTGACCTCCGAGGCACTGGCTGCGCATGCAGCTGCCACTGGCACTCCACCGAGATCTGGTGCACCATCACTGGCTTCACCGCCTCCAGGTGGCTCACAGGGCGACAACTACAGCTCGATTGGAAGCGAGGACGGCGACGCGAAGGCGTTTTTCGCCGAGTGCCCGAAGGAGGTCCCCGAAAAGGCTGCGTACTGGATCATGAAGAACGACCTCCTTGCACACGTCAACGGCGCGAAGTTAAAGAACAGCATCAAGGAGGCCAGGAACTTGCTTGAGCGCATCCGAGGGAAACCTGAATGGGCTGGCCCGTACTCCAAGCTGACGCAGCACATGAACAACGTGGACAAGGTATTGAAGATTAGGAAGGAGAGGGTCGCCGCTGGAATGGTGACGGACGATGACATCTTGACGAACATCCAGCCCATCCTTGCGTTGAGTGGCGGCGCCGACCTGCTTGACCCCTCCTACCAGTTTGCTCTCGTCACGCGCAAGTGCAACCTCTTGTTGCCCGCCGACTCCAGCATCGACGAGACAAATTCTTCGATTATTAAGGATCTCTGGAACAAGATCCGCCCTTGGACGGCAACGATTGACCCCATGGCAGACTCACTCGCTGAAGCGGAGATGTTGGCTCAATCTCAGCTGGACGGCTCACAACTACCACTACCAGGCAGTCAAGGCCCTGACTCTGGCTTTTCAGCACAATTCGGCACTGAGGTCCCAGCTGGCTCGTTCGACGCCCTGAACCCGAAGGTATCTGCCGTCAGGGCCAAGTCCACCTCGGATCGCGCCAAAATGTCAGCGTCATATGTCGTCGACAACTTGGTCTGCAGCGCAATCCTAAAGGACGAGGGCAACAATAACAATACGTACCACATGGCCAAGCACTTCATGGATGCCATCCAGCACGATTTGCAGGCGTGCGTGGTTCCAGCGCGCTACACAGCTTTCGCTTCCGACCTACTGACGACGATGAGGCAGATCATGTTCTTGGTGGAGATCGGCAGCGGTCGGGTACATGCAGATTACGCGGACAGGTACGATGAGTTCAAGACATACTGCGAGGCGGCCGACTCCCAGGCTGACCAGGGACACGCTGTCCAGAAGAGCGTCAACAGTGCCCTTGAGACTGCCGAGTGGTGGAGTAACCAGATGAAGTTCGCGATCGAGACGCACGAGGCGACGACGGCTATCTTCAAGAACCTGGATCCCATCGACACTGCCTTGACCGCCTACCTGGCCACCAAGCCGGAAGGGCACGAAACAATCGCCTATGCGCCCCCTTGGGAACACATGCGGACGTTTGTGGAGAACTACCACAAGTGGCATGCCAACACCAACAAAGCAATCGGAACGGCCTTCGAGGAAACTTCGGAGAGGTTTGTTGGCAGCATGAAGTTCATGAGATCGGCGATCAGCAAGTTACACGACGATGGCACGCTCACCCAGTCCATCGACCCGAGCATCGACCTTCTCACTGTGGCAGTGAAGCAGTTCCCAGAACAAAGTACCTTGCATACAACATTGGAGGCGCTGAAGCAACTGAAGTTGGAGAAGAGCACCAGCCACTTCAGCGCGAGGGTGGAGACGGATTGTAAGGCACTCCAGGCGGCGATTTCTGTGGATCGCGATCAATACGACATCACTCTTGCAAGGAAGCTCCAAGCAACGGTGCACGAGCTGGCGGGCGTCAAGCTGATCACCGAAGCCAAGAAGTGTCTGTTCAAGTCGCGTGTTCAATTTGCGGGTTGGACGTTGGAGACGTGGTACAACGACAAGCATCCGATAGACATGACTGTAGCCACCGACCTCCTCCTCAAGAGCTCCGACCTGATCAATATTGGAACCCAGGACCCTGCTGCGCCTGCTCAGGAGATTCGCGCCGTCGGCTTGCTCTTCAAGGACCTGCACATGAACAAGGAGACGCAGGAGCTGCTCATCGCGCAGGGGCTGATGCAGGGCGATGATAAAGAGAAGGCGCTTGTGGACAAAGACAGGCACGCTGGCTACCACTCGATCGCCAAGTTCATGTCGCTGACCAAGTCGTCAGACCAAATGCTCGGGGCCCTCTCGAAGAATCCGAACTTCAAGGACGAGTTCCGTGCAATCAAGTTGTTCCAGGGGGAACAGGTCAAATACTAGGAGAACCAGGCCGACGCGCTGGTCGGCCTTGCAACGGAGTTGGAAGAGAACGCCGTGAGGACACTCCAGGAGAAGCTCTCTCAGACGGCTGCGGGCGGGACGGACGGCAAGCCGTGGCACGCGGCGTTGACGGAAGAGGTGACGACATTCGACGCCGTGCTCGCGCTGGACCCGCTGGCGGACTACGCGGCCATGCAGCAGAGGCAGCGCCAGGCAGAGCTGGGCGAGGCATTGCACCCATGCTAATTTCTACAAGCCCCTCCAACAAAACTGCATTCGGGGCCGTCGGGGGTGGGGTGGCGTCGAAGATGATAAGGGGGCTCAGGGGCTCCGTCCGTTTGGGGGCGGATTCGAAACCGTCGGGGGCTCCTCGAAACTTTTTTTTTTCTCCATGTGGGACTGGGGCCAAGGGGTTTGGACTGATGTGGGTGGTGCCTCGTCCAGCTCTGTTGCGGTCTGCTTCTGCAGGCCACCAGGCGCTACCAGCAGACGGTGGAGTTCATTGGTGGGCATGTGAATGACACCATCGTGGAGGAGACGAAGAGGATCGGCTGGCGGGTCGTCACGACCGAGGCCGAGAGCCTCATCCTCCACGCGGCGAAGACGCTCTCGACGCCGCTGAAGATCGCGACGGCGATCACGGTGCAGAACGGGAAGCTGCAGCGGCTCCGCTGCAAGGACGGCCTCGTCCACGACATCATCAAGAAGCGCATCGAGCGCGCCAGGGCGGGCAAGTGAGAGGCCCCGTCGGGGCCCCTCCCCCACCCACCGCCCTCAGCAACACCAGCAGCACCAAGACACACACACACACACCTCCCCCTCCTCCTCAGCGAGGGGTGGACCCCTCCTGCTGAGGAGGAAGACGAGGTGTGTGTCATGGTGCTGCTGGTGTTGCTGAGGGCGCGAGAGGCCGCTTCCCCACCCCTCGCCAGGAGGGTGGCAAGGGGGGCCGCCGACCGCGGCTCGCGGCGGCGGGGCGCCGCCAGCGGCGCGAGGATTCGCCCGCCGTTCGGCGGGCCAGGAAATCCTCCATGTCCTTTGTTCTCTCCTCCACTTCCTCCTACACGCACCTTCCTCCACTGGCCGCCGCCTCTGCATTATTCATTCCTGGTCCTTCCTCTTCTCCTACTTGTTGTCGTCACAGTGCCCTCCATCATCGCATCGTCCCCCTTGTTCCTATGTACTCACCACCCTCCCTGTTCACTCCCTGCACCCCAATCCTGTCCTCGCTCACCATGTCCCCTCCCCTCCTGCCTCCCCCTTCCCACTACCCTTTACGATTGCTTCTATGGCAAGGGCGGGTGTGGGAGGCATAGCGTTGGATAGCATGCCATAGCAGCGCTTTGCGTAGGATGGCGCAGCATCGCGTCGGCGCGCATTGCACTCCATTGCATAGCATCGCATTGTGGTGCGCGGCATTGCATTGCAGAGAATGGCATAGTAAAAGGACTCTTTGGGTACCGATGCGTTGAATGAAGCGTTCGGCCTACGTCCGAAGTTAAGGCTGGCAGCGTTGCAGTTGGCATGTCCCCCTACGGCGGCCCTTCTTGGGCCGCATCCCTAAGAATCGCGTCGTGGGAACTAACAGGAACAAATCATTGGGGCTGGACTGCATCGAGATTTTTTTTCCCTAGGACTGGTTGGAAAAGCATTCCAAGAGTCAACTTTTCGAGTGGTTCGAAGAGCTCTTGGAAAGTCAACTGTGTGAGTCAGGCGTGAAGGCTCCAAAACAGTGGTTTTGAATTTCCATCTTGGAGGGCCCTGTAGGGCGACGTGCCAACTACAGTTTTGATGCGGCCCCTGCGGCTTGATGTGGGGCCCGACTGCTTCCGCCTACGTCGCCGACGCATTCTCGACGTCGACGATGCATCGCCGACGCATCGGCGATCTGTCGGCACAATCTACTCGGGCCCCATCATGGAGGCATCTAGTGCTGCAGCGAAGGTGGAACCCTGGCGTTAGGCAGATGGCACGTTGGGCTTCGGTTGTCCGCGCCCCCTTCCGTTTCATTATCTGCCCCCTTTGCCCCGTCCAGCGCTTGGCTGGCTGAGTGCTCTTTCCTCTCGGAGTCCTTTGGGGTCCAGGCTGCCGCCTCTCGCCCCTCTGGCGTTTGGCCTTGGCGTGGCCTCTGGCGTTGTGTTTTCGGTTGGCTTTGTGGGTCTGCCCTGGTGCCGTGATGGCGCGATGCAGTTCCTTAGGGTGCCCTTTCCCATTCGGCTCCTCCCCGCTCCGTCGAGGTGTGATCGGGGCAGCTTGACAGTACGCTCTATTACTCCTCGCAAGTGCGTTCGACACGAGAGCAAACACAGATGCCTTGCTCGTCCTCCCTGGACCCCGCCCCCCCCGCGGAACGGGGCCCGCCGCGGAGGCTTGTCGCGACCTGCGGCTGCGTGCCCTGGGCTGCACTCGCCTCGGGCAGCTGCGCGAGCTCGTGCGGATGAAGTTGGCCATGCCGTCGGAGGCGTGGGGGTGGGATCGAAATCCCGAGTTCTGGCGGCATTTTTTCTTCAAATGGGGATTTGTTTGATTCCAGCCCCTGTGGCTTGTTTTCGGCCCAAAAGCCGTCAAACATGGATCCCAGGCGAAGAGGTGGCCCAGGGAAGCGGTCGGGATGTCTGGGGCAGTCGGACGTTTTTTTTGTTGGGGGAGGATCGAGGAGTCTAACACCCCAACCGCGCGATCTGGGCGATGCATTTTTTCACCCTCAGCGTTTTGGGTTTTGGGATCCGGCTTGAAAAATGCAGCAATATGTTTGATATCATTCTGATTATGACTCTGACAATTATGCTTACTATGATTATTATGATTTTTATTTTTTATCATGATTAGTTGTTGTTTTCGTACTCTTCTTCCGAACTTGCAATGTTTCGTGACGTCGGATTTCAGGAAGTGAGGAGACCACCTGTTGTCTCCAGCCTCTGGAGGCCGTTTTTCCCGGCGCCAGGCCCATCGAACAGCGGCCCCGGGATGAAGCCCGCTTGGGCCAAGTCGAGCTTTCGGGCCGATGTCTTCGAGCGTTTTTTGCCCTCCCAAGGCCTCTGGAGGCCAGGAGGTGTCCCTGGGCTCAAGGGTCGCGGGAGGATGAGGGCGCGGGGGGGGGGGGGCGAGGGGGGAGGCAGGGAAGGGACGTAGAGGGGAGGAGAGCGAGGGAGGTGCCCCCCCACCCCCCCCAAAAAAGCTTCGACGTTGTGAGTTTTGCCGCAGCGCGGGCCCCCCCAGAGGTCTAGACTCAGGCGAGGAAGAGACACACAGACACAATTCATCGCCGATTCCCAGGAACATATGGGAGAATATGGGAAGTGGGGGGGGAAGACTAAAACCCAGAAAATATGGGCAAATATGGGGGAATCCTTTTACTTGTGTGTACTTCTATGTGTGTCCCGGGGCCCCTTCATAGACTCCCTCTCCCTTGCACTTTCCCCAGGCCCTCTCATCCAGGGGTCTTTCCCGAGGGTCCCCAGGGCCCTTTCAAGGGCCGGCCGGGGCCAAAGGCTGCCCCCCCCCCCCCCCCGGGGGTTGGGGGGAAGGGGGAAGGCTTCTCAGAAGCACCCCTGCTCCTTAGTGAGGCGCGGGCCTTCTCTGCAGATGTCAGGCCGGCGCCTTCTGAGAAGCGGCCTCCTTCCGAGAAGCCCTCTCCCCTCCCCCCACGCCTTTTGTGCGCGCCGCCGACGAAAGCCGCTGCGCCGCTTTGTCTTCAATCATCCACCAGACCACACCAGCCCAACCCGAAGGCCTCAATTTGCACTCCATCTCCAGTATGGGGGGTCGGGGGGCAATGCAAAACCACACATTGCAAGTTCGCTGCTATCTGCTCGCGTGCGATTCAACACGTGTATCCTCAACCGTCGGTGCCCGCCCTCTTCCTCTTCGTCTTTGGTCGTGCCCCCTTGGGGGCTCGTCTCTCTTATCTGCAGCCTGTGTGTCGCGCAGCACCTAAGGCAGGGGAAGAAAGGAGGTCTTCCCTCGGCGCGAGGAGGCGGGGGCCTGCCGTCCGACGCCTCCCCCTTTTTATGGACCCCCTCTCCCCTTGGCATCGCTCGGACGTGTGCATGTTTCCTTCGGCGAGGACCATCGAGGAGCATCCTTGATCTTTTGGCGAAAAAGCCACGCACGAAACCGAACATTATCCTGGCGATGGACCCAGCCATATGCAGTTGCGAGTACCGCAAAGCAGGTTGGGCGAATGAGAGGGAACTCCCTAAGGGGCCACGAAACGTGTGAGATGTGTGCCGAAATGGGTGCGGTGCCGCCATGCGAACGCAGCCACTGGGGCCTTCGGTTCACCGCTGTAACACATGTTCATGTGCGATGCGACGCGCACGAAACTCGAGCCCGCAACGCTCGTCACTACGATGGTGTGGACGACGGATCTGCATGCGTGCCCACCGTGTTTTGGAAACCTCTGATGTGCCAGGAGCGCCCTCCTAGAGCCGAAGACCCCCCCGCAAATGTCCTCCTCGTGGCCGCGTAACTCGCGATGCCAGAGCGTCTCGAGAGGGGGGGGGCCTCGGGGGCACCATCAGGGACTTCAGGACCAGGACCACACAGTCTAGGAGGAGGTATTGCCACCGTCTTCGCCTCGTCTCTCAGAACACCTGGGTCCAGGGCAATGCGCTGAGCTCTCAGGTCGGGGTCCATGCAGAGCGCCCTGATGTTGAGCCTCATGTGGGGGTCGGTAGACGCGCCCGAGAACCGCCGGGCCTCCAGGAGCTCGGACTCCGAGCGACGCGCCAGGGCCCAGACGTCATGATCAAAGCGGACCGCGCGCGGGCTGGCGGAGGCCGAGAGGCGCCCCTCCCCTGTGATCGTCGGGGCGGGGTCCAGCGGGAGCTGTCCGAAAAGCGACCCCATCTCCTGCGGGTGCGAACTCGGGCCCGCAATCCAGCGACGGCGTAGGCGAAGCCTCCAAACTCAAAGCTCAACAGCAGAAGGAGCGACGCCCACTCGACGAAGCGCCACCCCGTCGCACACGGCACGGCAGCGCAACACGGGCTGGCCTCGATCGTCCACGACTGGATTGCCCTCGGAATTCTGGATCTCGATTTTTGACAAGCCGCGCCCCCCAAGAGCTCACTCGCGAAAACGACCGGGACCCGATCCAGCCTTCCCACCTGCGCCTCCGTAAGCAGTAGCGCCCCCAGGCCAGACAGTAAAGCGCCCTGGACAACCGCTCAAAAAACCGTCCGAGTCAAACGCCACAGCCTGTTCTTCGACCAGAAGCGCACCATGAAGTAAAAGCTTCGACGCGCACCCAGAATCCTCCTACGAAGCTCGCCCTGGGTCGTGCCATTGATGGCCGTCTGACCCCCCGACGCAGCACTGTCGAACTGGACCTGCCCAGGGGGCCGCGTCGAACCTCCAAAAACGGCGGCGGCGTCGGCATGTGCGCGTAGCCATCCGAGGCCAACGCCGTGCGCGGGTGGCTGTGCGCGCGCTCCAGCGTCCGCCGAGCGGTCTGCGCGCTGCTCACGATGTGCGCCCTGCTCGCGTCTGGGGCCACGAAGCGTGTGAGGGGTGTGCCGAAATGGGCGCGGTGCCGCCATGCGGACGCAGCCACTGGGGCCCTCGGTGGAGCTCCTTATGGGGCCACGAAGCGTGTGAGGGGTGTGCCGAAATGGGCGCGGTGCCGCCATGCGAACGCAGCCACTGGGGCCTTCGGTGGAGCTCCCCATGGGGCCACGAGCCGGGTGAAGGGTGTGCCGAAATGGAGGCGGTGCCGCCATGCGAACGCAGCCGCTGGAGCCCTCGGCGGAGCTCCCTATGAGACCACGAAACGTGTGAGGGGTGCCCCGAAATGGGTGCGGTGCCGCAATGCGAACGCAGCCACTGGGGCCCTCGGTGGAGCTCCCCATGGGGCCACGAGCCGGGTGAAGGGTGTGCCGAAATGGGCGCGGTGCCGCCATGCGAACGCAGCCATTGGAGCCCTCGGTGGGGCTCCCTATGGGGCCACGAAGCGTGTGAGGGGTGTGCCGACATGGGGTCGGTGCCGCCATGCGAACGCTGCCACTGGGGCCCTCGGTGGAGCTCCCTATGGGGCCACGAAACGTGTGAGGGGTGTGCCGAAATGGGTGCGGTGCCGCCATGCGAACGCAGCCGCTGGGGCCCTCGGTGGAGCTCCCTATGGGGCCACGAAACGTGTGAGGGGTGTGCCGAAATCGGCGCGGTGCCGCCATGCGAACGCAGCCACTGGAGACCTCGGTGGAGCTCCTTATGGGGCCACGAAACGTGTGAGGGGTGTGCCGAAATGGGTGCGGTGCCGCCACGCGAACGCAGCCACTGGGGCCCTCGGTGGAGCTCCCTATGGGGCCACGAAGCGTGTGAGGGTGTGCCCGAAATTGGGCGCGGTGCCGCCATGCGAACGCAGCCTTGGGCCTTCGGTGGAGCCCCCATGGGGCACGAGCCGGGTGAAGGGGTGCCAAATGGAGGCGGTGGCCGCCATGCGAAGCAGCCCTGGGCTTCGGTCTTGCTCCCTATGGGGCCACGAAACGTGTGAGGGGTGTGCCGAAATGGGTGCGGTGCCGCAATGCGAACGCAGCCACTGGGGCCCTCGGTGGAGCTCCCTATGGGGCCACGAAACGTGTGAGGGGTGTGCCGAAATGGGTGCGGTGCCGCCATGCGAACGCAGCCACTGGGGCCTTCGGTGGAGCTCCCTATGGGGCCACGAACCGTGTGAGGGGTGTGCCAGAATGGGGTGGGTGCCGCCATGCGAACGCAGCCACTGGGGCCCTCGGTGGAGCTCCCTATGGGGCCACGAAACGTGTGAGGGGTGTGCCGAAATGGGTGCGGTGCCGCCATGCGAACGCAGCCAGCTGGGGCCCTCGGTGGAGCTCCCTATGGGGCCACGAAACGTGTGAGGGGTGTGCCGAAATGGGCGCGGTGCCGCCATGCGAACGCAGCCACTGGGGCCCTCGGTGGAGCTCCCTATGGGCCCACGAAACGTGTGAGGGGTGTGCCGAAATGGAGGCGGTGCCGCCACGCGAACGCAGCCATTGAGGCCCTCGGTGGAGCTCCCTATGGGGCCACGAAGCGTGTGAGGGGTGTGCCGAAATTGGCGCGGTGCCGCCATGCGAACGCAGCCATTGGGGCCTTCGGTGGAGCTCCCCATGGGGCCACGAGCCGGGTGAAGGGAGTGCCGAAATGGAGGCGGTGCCGCCATGCGAACGCAGCCACGTGGCGCCTTCGGTGGACCTCCCTATGGGCCCACGAAAACGTGGAGGTGTGCCGAAATGGGTGCGGGCCGCCATGCGAACGCAGCCGCTGGGGCCGTCGGGGAGCTCTCTATGGGCCACGAAGCGTGTGAAGGTTGTGCCGAAATGGGTGAGGTGCGCTTTCGACCGCATGCCACGGGGGGCCCCTCGTGGAGCTCCCTATGGGGCCACGAAACGTGTGAAGGGTGTGCCGAAATGGATGCGGTGCCGCCATGCGAACGCAGCCACTGGGCCCTCGGTGGAGCTCCCCATGGGGCCACGAAGCGTGTGAGGGGTGTGCCGAAATGGGCGCGGTGCCGCCATGCGAACGCAGCCACTGGGGCCCTCGGTGGAGCTCCCTATGGGGCCACGAAACGTGTGAGGGGTGTGCCGAAGTGACTGCGGTGCCGCCATGCGGACGCAGCCATTGGGGCCCTCGGTGGAGCTCCCTATGGGGCCACGAAACGTGTGAAGGGTGTGCCGAAATGGGCGCGGTGCCGCCATGCGAACGCAGCCACTGGGGCCTTCGGTGGAGCTCCCTAGGGGGCCACGAAGCGTGTGAGGGGTGTGCCGAAATGGAGGCGGTGCCGCCATGCGAACGCAGCCACTGGGGCCCTCGGTGGAGCTCCCTACGGGGCCACGAAGCGTGTGAGTGGTGTGCCGAAATGGGCGCAGTGCCGCCATGCGAACGCAGCCACTGGGGGCCTTCGGTGGAGCTCCCTATGGGGCCACGAAACGTGTGAGGGGTGTGCCGAAATGGGTGCGGTGCCGCCATGCGAACGCAGCCACGGGGGCCCTCGGTGGAGCTCCCTATGGTGCACGAAACGTGTGAAAGGGTGTGCCGAAATGGGTGCGGTGCGCCATGCGAACGCCCCCAATTGTCCCACTGGGCCCTCGTGGAGCTCGGGGGGCTGTGGGGGCCACGAAGCGTGTGAGGGTGTGCCGAAATGGGTGTGGCTGAACGCCTGAGGGGAGGGGGGGGGAGGGGGCAGGAGGAGGATGACGAAGGAGAGGAGAGGAGAGGAGACGCGGGCAACCAGTCCTCTTCAAAACGATGACCAACACCACAGGATGGTTGGGACAAACACCAGGAATGGACGTCCGAGCGATGGCGAGTTTATGGGAACAACAGTTCTGAGGTCCGCGCGGATTTCTCGCATCGGCGCTGGACCCCCCCTCCCTGCGCGCGGGACCGGCGCCAGGGGTGGCGCCAGGGAATTCAGGGGCTCACGCGGATACCCTGAGAAGTCCGCGCGACCCCAGGAGTTTTTATAATTCATGCCATTGTTCGTTTGCCCTGTGCGTCGTCGTCCCGCTCCGCCGCCGCGCGGAGCGCGGCACATCATCGGTAGGGCGGGGCCCGCGCCCTGCGGGGCGTTGGGGAAGGGGGGTGCCACCCCCTCGCGGCCTCGTCCGCTCGTGCCTCCCTGGTCCCTCTCTGGTGGCCTGCGTTCCACCACCGCCATCACCACGTTGGAGGGGGAGGAGGTGGAGGAATGAGAAAGAGGACGAAAAGAAGGAGGAGGAGGAGGAGGAGGAGGACAGGGAGGAGGAGGAGGAGGAGGAGGAGGAGGAGAGGGAGGAGGAGGAGGACCCCCTCCCCCTTTTTACTTCTGGTCGTGGCGGTGGAAAACAAGCCCACCACTCTCTCTCCCATCCCCCCTCGCCAAGGGAGGAACAACGACCTGGACCTGAGAGCTGGCTTTTTCTAAACGGCTCTGGGCGTTTACTAAGCAGCCCTGCGTTGCTTATTCGATTCCTTCTGCGGGTGCGTTGACTAAACGGCCTCGCGTGTCGGGGTGATTCTTATGGGGCTGGATATTCTGCTCTGTACCTAACCCCCCTTTACCTCACCCCCGATTTGTTCAGTCTCGGCGCTTTTCCGTGGCCTCGGTTTTTGCTCGACCATTAATGGGCCATTGGGCCATCAGAAATGGAGACGGAACAATGCTTGCCCCCGGGGAGGGGGTCGGGACCTGTGCCGCCGCGTACCAACAAAGATCAAGCTCTTCGTTTTCCGTCCTGCCGAGCTGGTTTCTGACGGACCCTGGGCCCGAAAACGGGTTTCGGAAGCCGGAATGGTAGAACAACTGCTGGCGCGTTTTATCCTGCGACTCCCAGGTATGAGGCTCTTTTTCTTCAGATCCAGGCGAGCTTACGTTCGTGGCAGGCCCTCTCCCCTCCGCCGCCCTCTCGAGCGGCGCCGGCTCGAGCGAGAGTGCAGGCGTACTCCAGAATTCCTGTCGAACCTCGCCACGCTTTTCCCCTACTCCATGCAAGTACACGCTGGTCGTGGGAAGTAGGTGTTGTTGACTTCCAAGAGCTCAGTCTGCTTCAAGCGCCTTCCTGCTTCAAGAATCGATCTGCCTGTGCTGTGTTTTGGTATTATCTGGGAGGGCCTGAACCCAACCTACTTTATTATCCTCCCTACTTAATGTTTTTACCCACTTCTTCTGACCCACGTGTACATTCGCCAGCATCGAAAGAAAGTTTGCCTCCATGATGGCCCTTCCTCGCCTCACACGTCCGTTGGGTGCTCATGGGCCCTTGTTGAACGCAACTGCTCAGCTTTCGCGCCGATGACCGCCAAAGACCGCCGAAGACCGCCGAAAACCGCAAAAGACCGCCCGAAGACCGCCGACGACCGTCAGAGGACCGCCTCAAGACCGACGAGGACCGCCGAGGACCGCCTCGAGACCGCCGAACGCCGCCGAAGACGGCCCAGGAGCGATTGGTAACGAAGGGTCCCAGGGTCGCGGAAGCGGAGGAGGAGGAGGAGGAGGAGGAAGAAACATAAAGGAAGGCGGAGGAACTCGTGACGTCCGGAGACTTATTTCCTGGCCCAAGCCGCTGGCCCGAGCCGCCGCCCGCATCGTCGCTCGGCACCCTTCGGGCCGGGCGAAAGGGGGGGATAGCAAAGAGTGGGTTTGAGAATCAGCTCACGTAGCTGACTTTGCCCGGCGCCTCCCGGCGCCTTGGAGGCGCCCATGTGTCGAGGCATGGGCCCGGCGGCGGGGCCGAAACCAGCTGCATGCAGCAGGTTTCGTACCCCCCCCTTTCTGTATCCCCCCCCCATTCTTCGGATCAACTCCTGGGAGGTCAAATTCTGTTTTCGCCCTGGTCCGAAGTCGGGCTTACTCTCGCTTAATCCCGCTTAAGCCTTCTTAATCCGAGGCCCATTCCGGTGCAACAGCTCCCCACTGGGGCCTGATCTCAGTTTTCCGACGAAAGCCTCCCAGTAGTTGCTTCTTAGCCCCGCCCCTTTCGTCTGGCCCGAACCTTGCATTAAGTCGAACCTGCCCCTCTACAGAGGGAATATTCAAAAGTAGTCAAACAATAGTCAAGGGACGTTTTTGTTTGTGGGGATTTTGTAGGCATCTTTTGACAATTTCTTGAATCTTTCGAGCATGTGTGAAAAATGCTCGAACATAGTAAGAAAGTAGTCCCCTGACTATTCTTTGATCATTTCTGAAAGATCCCCCCTGCAGTGGGACACGCCCGACGTAACCCGAACCCCGCACCGCCCATGAGCTCCGCACCGGCCCGCACCGGCCCCGCGAACATGGAGCAGCCGCTCCTCGGCGCGGCGGCGCCGCGCCCCGGCTCGGGCAGGACGGCGGGGCCCCGTCCTCCTCCTCCTCCTCCTCCTCCTTCCTCCTCCTCCTCCTCCTCCTACCTCCTCCTCCCAGTCCTCCTCCTCCTCCTCCTCCTCCTCCTCCTCCTCTCCTCCTCCCAGTCCTCCTCCTCCTCCAGTCAGCAGGCACAGCCACAGCTGCCTGCAGGGGGAGGCCCACGCCAGGGAGCACCCTGCGTGCCTCCAGGATTAAGTCGGGTCCGTCCCTCTACGGGGGAATGTTTTTTAAAAGTGGTAAGAAAAAGACGGGGGGCCATGTTTGGAGAATGTTTTGACTATTTTGGAGCATTTTTGGGTTTTTTATGTTTCGCCGAAAGTCCCCCTGTGGGGGGACACGCACGACTGAACTCCAGGGTGCCCCGGGTGTCTTGGGTTTCGACGGCTTTGCGGTGGAGAGCGTGGCGTTCCCACACCAGAACTCAGTGCACGCCCTCGGGGTCTCAGGGTTGGCGTTCTCGTGGAGGGTTTCGTGCGGTCGAGATGCTACTGTGTGGAGGTTCGTCCTGGGGACCTTCCGGGGGCCCACCTCGCGGATCTGCTCGACTCTGGTTCGACCCCAGTTCGACTCGAGCTCGACTCAATTTCGATTCATGTTCGTCTCGGGTTCGACTCACGGCCGCCTCGAATCGACGGACGTTACACGCAGCTTCCACGCACGAGTGGAGCCCGTGGCTCCAGGGAGGTCCCTAGAATGAGCATCCAACCAATTGTGGAGAGTCCTCGTCCTCCCTCTGAGCACGCACTGCCACCACTGCCGCACTTTAGGCCGCCCTGATGGGGTCCGAGGATCGCGCCGCCCCGCCGATGCAACCATGACGTCGGATTTCGGATATACACCTTCGAAGTTCTTCGGAGGCATCCGAAATCCCTCGAGACACTGTGCACATGGGAGCAGAAGCCTCCGGGCCGCCTGCCGTGTCGCGGCGTGGGCAAGAGCATGACGTGGGACCCTGAGATCCGACACTGCAAAAAAACAACTACAACTTCGCAATTAATCACGCCCAGCGCCCCGGACCGCATCTTTCTGCGCCATTTTTTCGAGCCGGATCGATCTGTGAGGGTCCCGGGGCCCGAGATTGAGCGAAAGCGCACGTCGTGAAAAAAGTGGCAACGCCAGGATCTCAGGGGATGTCTGTGGCGGTGGCACTCGCCGCTGGCCTCCTCGCGCAGGAGCCGGCCCCCGGCGGCAGGGCGAAGGCCCCGGAGGCCGCGGCATGGGGACTATTGTTTGAGTGTTGTTGGATCTTTTTTTAAATAATCATTTTCGTCGAAAATCCCCCTGTAGGGGGACGCGCCCGACAGAACGCCGGCCTCCTCGCGCAGGAGCCGGCCCCCCGCGGCGGGGCGAAGGCCCCGGAGGCCGCGGCCCGCGGCGGCGGCGCGCGGAGTAGCCCGGAGGCGCCCGCGGCCCGCGGGGGCCCCGCGGCGCGCGGGGAGGGCCCCGGCGGCCCGCCGGGCCTGGTGCAGCGGGTCGTCGAGGCCGTGCAGGAGCGGGGTGCGGAGCCTCCTCCCTCTCCCTCCTCCTCCTCCTCCCTCCTCCTCCCTCCTCCCTCCTCCTCCTCCTCCTCCTCCCTCCTCCTCCTCCTCCTCCTCCTCCTCCTCCTCCTCCTCCTCCTCCCTCCTCCTCCTCATCCTCCTCCTCCTCCTCCTCCTCCTCCTCCTCCTCCTCCTCCTCCTCCTCCTCCTCCTCACGAGGGGATCCGAGTACAGGAAGGCCCAGGAGGCCCCCAAGAGGCCCCCCCTTCAGGGGCTCCAGACCTGCCCCGCAAAGACCCCCGAGGGCGCTCCGAAGAGGCCACACGAAGCATCCCTGAGGGCTCCGATCCGCAATCCAGGCAGCACGGTGGCGGGGTGGACCGAAGGCCATTCGATGTTTTCTGTACACCTTTCCCTCCCCCTCTCGGGTCGTTCGGATGGGGGGGCAGTAGAGTGGAACCTATGCCAAGAAACACCCTGCTTGTCTCCATGGTGCCCTGGGTTTCTTGGGTTTCGATGGTTTTGCGATGGAAAGCGTGGCCTTCCCACACTGCAAATCAATGAGCGTCCTGGGGTTTCAGGGTTGGGTTTCTCGGGGAATGTTTCTTGTGGTCAGTGGTCGAGCTCCTACGGTAGATGGGGTCGGAGGATAGCGCCGCATCGCCGTTGAATCGGCGATAGGGCCCGACTTGAGGCCCGAATTCTCCACGCCGACGTCGCCGATGCATCGGCGATGCATAGGCGTGATCCTCCTACGCCATCTACTCGGACCCCATGTGGGAGGCTTCGCGTGACCATGATACTAACCTTCGCAACCGCCAACGCGCAACGTACAACCGGTGGACATGATCCTGGGTTGGTTCGCGAGCGCGAGGCGTTCGACAAACTTTCTGCATCTATCATGATCCGTGCGAAGGCCCGCATACCTCAGGAGGGGCAACAAACACACAGACACGATGAATCGTCGATCCCCAGGAACATATGGGAAAATATGGGAAGTGGTGTGGAAGACAAAATTCCAGAAAATATAGAAAACTATGGGGAATCTCCTCATTTGTGTGTGTATTTATTTGTGCGCCCCAGGGCCCCTGCAATACCCGAGGCGTGCCTTGGCGGCTCCCTCAGGACTTGTGCTCGCCCGTGGGCCTGGTGCTGCGCGAGGACCGGGCCCACCTCTCTGGCATCGGAGGCGTCGAGCCACCAGAAGAACACCATTTATAGTCGGGGGTGGACCTTAGCGGAGGCCGCCCCAACGGGATCCGAGCGGAGTGGGCCAGACGATCGCGCCACATTGCCGACCTTAGTGGGCCCTGGAAACGACAGGGCCGTTTTTTTACCGGTTCCGTTTTGCCGTTTTTTTTGCCGGTTCCGTTTTGCCGTTTTTTTACCGTTCCGTCGCCGTTTTTTTGACCGGTTCCGGTTCCGGTTCCAATTCTGGAGCCGTTTTCTTGCCGTTTCCGGTCGCCGTTTTTTTGCCGTTTCCATTTTCAAGGAACATTTTTTGGGAAACGGTGAAAAAACGGCCCTGCCGTTTCCGGGGCCCACAAAGGGGTGGACAGACCTCCTACCCTGACACGCCGAATAAGGAACTGGCCGTTCTCGGTTCGCGAGAGGGCGTCGCGGCCGTCATGTTTGCGGGTCCAGGTCCGTCGGTGCCGGTCCCAGGCCGTTTTCATTCAGGAGAGGTTTTTTCCAAAAGTAGTTTTGTCCACCGCCGGTATAGAGAGACAAGCGAGCATACGCACAGCAGCTTTAAGCCAGCTCCGTGCGGATTTCTTGATTCGGCGCTGTTCCCCCTGTCTTACCAGCCTGGAACATATCCCTATCCCTATGCTAGGCACCTCCTCATCACGATGCCAATCTTAGGGATTCCCTTATTTTTTGAGGGCGGATCCCTAAGATTGTCATCGCCTTTTGGCGTGTCAATCTTAGGGATAGGGAGACGTTCGAGGCTGGTAACTGTCGGCGCTTCCTGGCGCCGCCTCTGGCGTGCTCCGGCCACCAGGGGGGGGTCCGGCGCCGAGCCCTAGCACATCCACGTGGGCGTTTGTAAAAGTTTTCTGCCTCTGCAGCCGTCCTCTCCTCCTCCCAGGCGAGTCGCCTCAGGCGGCGGCGAGCAGGCAGCACGAGCACGAGGCGCTGCTGGCGATGCCGACCGCGCCCCTCGTCAGCGTCATGGCCGCGATGTCCAGGTACGACGGCAGCGACATGGCGGAGGCGGGGTGCCGGCGCCTGTGCGAGCTGCAGGCGCAGCAGGAGGAGGGGCTCCTCGCCGCGGGCGCCGCGGAGCTGGTGCTGCGCGCCATGGAGCGGCACAAGGGCGACCGGTCCCTGGGCATCCAGGAGTCGAGGAAGACAGAACGGCATGAGCAGTAAGTCGGGCCCGTCCCTCTACGGGGAATACTCAAACGTAGTCGAGAAATAGTCTGGGGACCGTTTTCTGGCCATTCTTGAATATGTAAGGGCATGTGTTAGCTATTTTTAATTTTTCGTCCAAGATTCCCCTGTATAGGGACATTCCCGACTTACAGAAGCAGGAGCTTTCACCGGCCCGCGTGGATTTTGTGGATCTGCGCTGGGCCCCCCTCCCTGGGGCGCGGAGAGCGCGCCGGGGGCGGCGCCAGAGGCACCGCCAGGGGGGTCCGGCGCAGATCCGAGGACCCGGCGTGGACCAGTGGAAGCTTATTCAGCGAGCGAAGAACGGTATAAAATAAACTTTCCGCCGTCGGGGACACCTGCCTCTGGGCGGCTGGAAAGTTTATACCCCTACGGTGCCACCGTAAGGGTACAAACTTTCCAGCCGCCCTGGGACAGGCGCCCCCGACAGCGAAACAGTTTATTTTACACCGTTCTTCGCACGTTAATTTATGCTGATGCCGTGTCTCCTCTGAGGAGGCCGGCGTCCGTTTCCTGCGCGACGCAGCGTCCTCCCGCGAGGGCCAGGCCAAGGTGGCCGCCGCCGGCGGCTGCCACGCGGTGCTGCGCGCCATGTCGGGCAGGGCCGCCTCAGGGTCACCCCGCATGCAGGAGCTCGGCTGCGGGGCGGTGCTCAACCTGGCCCGCGACCACTCCGAGGGGGGCTCCAAGGTCGAGGGGAGGATCGCAGGCCTAGAGATTTACACCAACACCAATATCGGCGCTGTTTCTCCACCGAGGGAAGGCAGATCCCGATCTCGGTGATGGTGGTAATATTTTGTCTTCAAAGGCGGCCGAACTATTACCACCAACATCGAAAGCCAGGATCATCTTCCCCCTGTGGAGGCAGCCCCCTTGTCTTGGTGTTGGTGCCCATGTCCAGGCCTCCAAGAAGAAGAAACACCACGACCCTCGGAATTGGCGCTTGCTGACCGCAGAAGGTCTTCAATGCTGTGCCCCCCCCAAAGCTCTGGCTTGGGCAACTAGGTGCGGTGTCGACGGGCGAATCATTTGCCCAGTATTGCTCGCCGTGCTGGCTTTTGTTGGGCCTTTATGTCTTCTGGCAGATTTCATTCCTTGGGCAACTCCACACCCTACACGATAGAGAAATTGCGTGCCTGTTCTGCAAGGCTTGTAGTACGAGTCCGCACCCTTCCCCTAATGTCGTTTTTCGTAGAGTCGTAGTTCTAGGCTTCCAAGATTGGGTCCAAGTCCAAGCAGATGGGGTCGGAAGATGTCGCCGCATCACCGATGCATTGCCAGTGCGGCTCGATGTGGGGCCCGATTTTCTCGGCGCTCGCGTCGCAGGTACACCGCCGACGTCGCCGATGCATCGGCGATGCATCGCCGATGCATCGGTGATATATCAGCGATGCGGCGCGATCCTCCGACCGCATCTGTTCGGAACCCCATCCAGGAGGCCTCTAGTAGTAGCGCTCGTCGACGGACGACGGCGACGGCGGCGACGGCGACGGCGACGGCGCTGGCAGCGTCTCCAGACATATCAATTTGCGCATTCTCTTTTTTTCGGGGGGGGGGGTATGGAAGACCTTCTGCGGTTGAGCAGTCCTCGGCGTTTACTGCGCAGTCCTTCCTTTTGTTCGATGCCTCCCCGTGGGTATGTGTGCCGCGAAAAAGGCCTCGCCTGTCTGTCTGGGGTGCTGACCGTGAGGGTGGGTTCCTCTGCCCTTCCACCAAGGGCCACGCCGCGTGGAAGGTGGGCATGGAGGGCGGCGTCGGGGCGGTGCTGCAGGCCATGACGGCGTGCGAGGACTCCCCCCAGGTCCAGCAGGCGGCCTGCGCCGCCTTGCGGGCCCTGCTGCTGGACCCGAGCAGCCAGGCGAAGGTCGTGGCTGGCGACGGCATCCAGGCCCTGCTCCTCGCGACCACCGTGCACGCCGCCGACGCCGCCGTGGTCGCGGCGGCCTGCTCGGCCCTGCTGCTGCTGGCGAGGGCCTACCCCGACAGCCTCCCCCAGGCGGAGGAGGAGGAAGAAGCGCCATGTGGGCCACAGACAGAGGATTTGGGCGCTCCGCGCGGGTTTCTCGGATCCGCGCTGGGCCCCGCTCCGCGCGCCAGGGAGGGGGGACCAGCGCAGCTCCAAGAGATCCGGGCGGAGCGCCACAAGTTTGTGAGCATGCCGTGTTTTCTTCTTCTGCCGAGATGGCCGCGGCAGGCGCCGCCGCCGCCGCCGCGCGGTGCCTGTCGGACCACGCGGCCGACGCGGCCGCGCGTGCTGCGAGCCGCTCGCTCCTGGATCTGCTGGGGGCTGCGCACGGCCCCGCCCCGCGCGCGGCGCCGTGAGCCGCACACGGCGCCGCGCCGGGAGCGCCGCCTGTGGCGGCGGCGCCTGCCAGCCCCTCGCGCAGGCGAGGCGGCCGCCTCGAGTTTTTTTTTTTTGTGGGGGCTCAGGAGAGCCGTTTCGACTCGAGAGATCCGAGGCGACGCCGACGAAGTCGGAGCTGCAACCCTGCAGTCGAGGCGCTGAAATGGGGGCCGCTCTGGGCTCGGAAGGGGCTCCCTGCTCCTTAGGCCATTCCGTGGCCGTTCCTCCAGCCCTCCTCGTGCACTGCGGGCTTTCTAGGTGCCAGAATGAGGCTTCGTTCCTTACTTAGCATTCCTTACTGCAGCTCCCGATCCGATTCTCTTTCCGACCCTGATGCGCCCCCCGAGCCGCTCAGGGGAGGACGAGCTCCCGATCTACCGCTGCCCGTGCCTCGCTGCCGCGGCTGGGTGCGCCTCCAGATCCTGGCAAGAGCGCACCCTGGAAGGGTCGAGGCTCGGAGGAGGACAAGCTTTAGGTCGGGCCTGTTCCCCTACAGGGGGAATCTTCAAAATAGCCAACAAGTAGTATGGGGACTATTTTTGTTACTATGTTTGAGCATTTTGGGAGTATTTTTTTCAGTATGTTTGAGTTGTTGCCCGAAATTCCCCTGCAGGGGGACAGACCCGACCTAAGACAAGCTCCAGATGCCGCTGCCCGTGTCTCGTTGCCACGGCTGGATGCGTCTCGGCATCTTGGCGAGAGCGCACCTTCGGAAGAGGCCCGTGTGCTTGCGGTAGGGGTGGCGCTTGTGATCCCCAGAGCGGAGGCGCCAGTCGTTTGGGGAAAGACCCTCTCTCTCTGCAGCATTCGCTCCTGCTGCTCCGGCCTCCCAACCCGCCGGCTGCCCTTTGGGGCGTGGAAGAAGAGGGTGGTGGTGAGCGGTGTGTGTGTGTGTGTGTGGATATCACGGCTGTGGCCGTAGAATTCTCGAGAGTTCAAAGCGTTTTTTGTTCAAGAAGACCCCTGGCCCCTTCTTCGCTACCCGAACACGCCTCGGGCCATGATGTGCTAACCCCCATCTTGCCGGCCTCCCTCTTCAGCGCACCCTATGCCCATGATTTAGCGGACGACGAGCAGTATGAGATCATTTTGTCCAGTGCGGCTGAAACGCTTATACCCCACAGTGTCACCGTCGGAGTATGAACTTCCCAGCCGCATAGGGACAAGCGCCCGCGATGGCAGAACAGTTTATGCTATACCGTCCTTCGTCCACCAAATGAGGCGAGTACGAAATCGAGGTGCCACGAATTTCCGATCCGCCGAGGCTGGGGTTTATCCGCAACCACCGCCGAGGGTATCCATCATCGGGGACCTCGCCAGACGGCAGAAACCAGGAGTCGATCTATCTCTGTATACACCGCCCGCCGGGGTCCCAGGGCGTCGGTGATCGCCCGCTGGGGACCCAAGGGCGTCGGTTTCCCACTGGGGTGGCTACGGATAACTCATCGCCTCGCAGATCCGCTCCTTGCGCTGGTGGCGCTGCCAACCGCTAGCGCCTCCGACCAGCGCGCCCTCCCGCACGTGAGCCCCGCGCTGTTTGCCGCGCCATCCGCGCTCCGTCTCAGGAGGCGCGGCCACGGGGTGCTCCTCTCCCTTCTGCTCGTCCTCCTCTCTCTCCCCTCCCCTCCTCTCTTCTCCTCTCCCCCCCTCCCTTCTTCACCTCCCCTCTTCCTCTCCTCTCCTCTCCTCTCCTCTCCTCTCCTCTCCTCTCCTCTCCTCTCCTCTCCTCCTCTTCCCTCCTTCTCTCTCCCCTCCCCTCCTCTCTTCTCCTCTCCCCCCTCCCCTCTTCACCTCCCCTCCTCCCTCTCCGAGCCTCTTGCTGACTCCTCCTTGCCCGCACCTTCGCGCCCTCTCCAGGGTGCGCGCGAGGCCGATCCAGAAAATCTCGGGGTCCTCTGTCCTCTCTGCTGCTGCCGCCTGGCTGCGGTCTCTCCACTGACAGGGCATGGCAATCCTTCGGCACAGGGAGGAGGAGGAGGAGGAGGAGGAGGAGGAGGAGGAGGAGGAGGAGGAGGAGGATGGGGGAGGAGGAGGAGGAGGAGGAGGAGGAGGAGGAGGAGGAGGAGGAGGAGGAGGAGGAGGAGGAGGTGGAGGAGGAGGAGGAGGAGGAGGAGGAGGAGGAGGGGTTCACCAACGCAGTGTATTACAAAACATCGAGGGAGCGGACCACACCTTTGAGGGCGTAGCCTATTGCAATAATGCCGTACAGGACCGCACACGCAAGGCCTCATCATCGAGTGAGCGGCTGGGGGGGCTGCGTGAAGGCCAGGTGCGAAACACTGTGGGTGCGCTCCCAGGCCTGAAGCATTCATACCTTTCCGTGTGCAACTGCGTTGCCGTCGACTATTTTGCCATCGCGTGCGCGAGCAAGCAGACGTACAGTCAACTTCGGCCTCCAAGGGTCTTGCGTCCTTGCCACGCGTCCTTACTATACGTTTTCACTGTACTCGTGTCCCGCCCAGCTGCCCACGTCTCCATCTGCCAAGGACGGCACATCGGCGCACACGATCACAGGTATACCAAGAGGGCCTCCGCGGCCGCAGCGGCGGGCGCCCGCAGCGCGGGCGCCCGGGCGCGGGCGCCGCGGTGCGCGCGCGCCGCGGTGCGCGGGCGCCGCGGAGCGCAGGCGCGGACCAGGATCGCCTCTGTGGCGCTGCGGCGGCACAGGTGCGGTGTTTGGGGCGGGGGCCAGGGTGGAGTGGGGGGGGCGCCCGAGCGCGGGCGCCGCGGTGCGCGGGCGCCGCGGTGCGGGCGCGGACGGGGATCGCTTCTGTGGCGCTGCGGCGGCACAGGTGCGGTGTTTGGAGCGCGGGGGCCAGGGTGGAGTTGGGGGGTTCGGCACCCGAGGGGTGGAGCGTTGAGGCGAGGGGGGAGGGGGCATTTCGGGGCTTCCAGCTGCGTGCGGGGCAATGCCGGGCATGGACGGAAGCGAGGATGCAGGGAGGGAGAGGAGGAGGGATGTGGGGAGGAAGAGGGGAAACGGCAGAAAGGAGGTAGGAGGAGGGAGGAGTCAGTAGGGAAGGAAGAGGAGAAGGAGGAGGTCCAGTGCGCACCCAGGATGCATCAACAATGTTGCAATACATCCTCCTTCCAAGTTCCCTCTTCATAGGTCCCTGCGGCGATTTGTTGTGAAGGCCTCACGGCTAATGCCGCCGGCCCTGAATGGGGAACCGGAGGTGTTCGGGAGGCGAGGAATCAAAAGGTGAGACCTTCTGCCAAGGAGGGACGTTCCCCCACGGGGGAAGGGGTCAAAACCCCCAGGGCCCCCCCCCTATCAGGGATCCCCCCTACCCCCCCCAACCCCGGGAACCCCCCTGGGACCCCTCCCTCCCCCCCCTCGGGAGGGATCAAAGGAATAGGGATCCCTTCCGACTCGATATACGACATCGCTCGATCTTGTCTTTGAGCAGGAGGGCCCACGGACAGTGACAGGGGCGCGGTGACGGCGACGACGACGACGATTCAAACGGCAAAATCTTCCACACGCCGACAGGGTCGGCGGATTTTCATTGCGGGGAATGCCCAATGGGACGACAACCGTCTGAGAGTCTTCAAATGCCATTCGTGCGAGAGACATAACGCCTGGAACTTCAACGCCGCGAATCAACGTGATTACTGCGTCCTGACAATCCTCAAGCGCTCCAGGACAACATTTCTGAGATTTAAGCCGCGAACCAACGTGACTGTTGCACCCCGACAGTCCTAGATCGTGCCAGATCACCATCCCTGGAACTACCACCATACACAGATCCCTGGACTTGCTGCAGACTCCTAGGACGCATGGGTTCGGCGTTGAAGGCGGCAGCCGCACACTGACCACAAACCGCACTTCACTTTTGAAGGTGTTACAGAGGTTCAAGACCACTGTGTGTTGCGCTACAGTCGGGGCCCTGAAGAAGGAACCCTTTCCGTTGGAGAGGGGCTCCGTTTTCCTTAATTGTTTCGCAGTTTGCCTTAGATTTTCCTCAGGTTTGCGACACGACATCGAAGTTTCACTTATGGAAAATAGGGGCCTCGTTCCTTATTTAGGGTTCCTGAGGTCAGCGCCTCGACGGTAAGGCGAGGGCCGCATGTAGATAGCGGCCCGCCCTCCAGCCACGAAGCCGTCGCAGACCTGTGAGACGAGGGTGCGCGGCGCCCGGGCGATGACCACATGTTAAACCAGCCGCCTTTGATCCTTGAAGCTCAGCTTCAAGGATGAAAGGCGGGGGGTTGGGGGGGGCGTCACGTCATACCCCCCCCGCCCTCCCCCCCCCTGCCCTTGACGCCCGTCATCGCCGAACACAAAGAAGCGCCCTCCTGTTGCAGACCTTGAAGGCGCCAAGGCGATAACAACTTTGTGAACACGGCCCGCCTGCCATCCCTACCCTAGCGGCACATGTTTCGGATGAAGGTGCGCGGCGCTCAGGCGAGAGCCACATTTTGAACATGGCGCGCACATTGTTCCAGACGTGTCAGGCGAAACGCCCGGGCCGCTCTACCGACACGTCTGGGGGTGCGGCAGGGAGGAGTTTCTTTTGGAGGAGGAGTCTCACGTGCAGCCCAGTCTTGGAACCAGAAAGCGGGCGCCAGGGCCACCATCGGGCCCCGCTCATTCCCACCAGCTTCGAAGTTCAGACATACCGAACATCAGTCGTGACAACAAGCATGGCAAACCATTCCTAACTTTCAGGCACTTGGAGGGGCTTCCCCGTCTTAGTGTGCCTGCCAGCCTTGACGGCTTTGACCGAATATAGATGATCCGAGCGTGTTGCAAATTGCGCTCCGAAGGACCAGGACACTTACCCGACAGCTTCTGCTCTTGAACCCCAAGCTGGAACGAGCTACAGGGGGGGCAGACCATGGCTGTACGGCAAATCCACACGATGGCCATCGATCTCGACTACCTCCTCGGACTCAGGCGGCACTGACTCCCCAGGACCAGAAGGAACGTCCCCAGGTTCGAGGCCCCTCGGAGACCGAGTCTGCAAAATTAAAC